GCCGATGACCAAGTCCCCCGCGGATCAAGGATACCAGATGCTGCAAACATTCCCCGCGTGGAGGACAGAATTGGTCTCATGGTCCAGGACCACTTTGAGACCTTCATTGAAACGCAAGTTGATGGTCCATTTTGTCTTGGCCCTATTAGGCAATTGTTCTAACCACAGGGCTTTGTAGGTTCGTAGAAGAGCCGAGCTCTTCTGCCCCGCCGACATCCAGCGCTGCCACGACAGACAAGTACTATGTCGCCCAGATCCACGGCATGAGGACATATCAGCTCTCAACATTCTACGTCGACTTCAAGCACCTGACCACATTTACCAATGGAGAGCTGGGTGATGGTATCATGCGCGGTTACTACCGATTCCTTCCTTTCCTCACGGCCGCGCTACACAACATGATCGCCAAGTATGAGCCGCAGTACTTCCGCGAACACAGGCAGCCGACATCCTCAAGCAACCCGACCAACTCAACCGCAAGCCAACTTGGTTCTGCGAGCCAGACGGATATGGGTGAAAAGACGGCCAACCAGCAGACAGACAAGCTCTTCACCATCGCCTTCTACAACATGCCCCTCATCTCAAGAGTGCGCAGTCTTAGGTCGACCAACATTGGCCAGCTGCTCTCCATCTCCGGCACGGTGACGCGAACGTCAGAAGTCCGCCCTGAGCTTTCACTCGGCACATTTGTTTGCGAGGCTTGCAGAACGGTCGTTCCCAACGTCGAGCAGACTTTCAGATACACCGAACCCACCCAGTGCCCCAACATGACTTGCCAGAACCGTCAAGCCTGGCAGCTCGATATCCGTCACAGCACGTTTGTCGACTGGCAGAAGGTGCGAATCCAAGAAAATAGCTCAGAGATTCCCACAGGAAGCATGCCGAGAACAATGGACGTCATCTTGCGCGGAGAGATTGTGGATCGGGCCAAGGCAGGAGAGAAGTGCATCTTCACCGGTGCGCTCATCGTCGTGCCGGATGTCAGCCAAATGGGCCTGCCCGGCTTGAGGCCAAGCACCATTCGCGACGACAACCGTGCTGCCGGTACTGATGCGGGCGGTTCTGGAGTCACTGGTCTCAAGGCGCTGGGTGTTCGCGATCTGACCTACCGCATGGCCTTCCTGGCGTGTATGGTCACTCCCGACACCTCAAATCTGGGCCAGACGGCGAGCGGGCAGGTTGCAGATGCTATCAGCTCCCTGACACAAAATAACGGCAACGACACCTCGGAATCAGTGGATGACATCCAAGCTGCGATCGTCGCTGGCTGGAACCCTGCCGAGATTGAAGAGCTGCGTCAGCTCGTAAGCGAGAAGAACCTTCTCGATCGGTTGGTTGCTTCCATAGCGCCTACTGTATACGGCCATAACACGATCAAGAAGGGTATCCTGCTTCAGCTTTTGTCTGGTGTGCACAAGACCACCGCCGAGGGCATGGAGCTGAGAGGTGACATCAACATCTGCATTGTCGGTGACCCTTCCACATCCAAGTCTCAGTTTCTCAAATACGTTTGTGGCTTTGCACCCCGCGCGGTCTACACCAGTGGTAAGGCTTCTTCCGCTGCTGGTTTGACGGCCGCTGTGGTCAAGGATGAAGAGACTGGAGACTTCACGATTGAGGCTGGTGCTCTGATGCTGGCAGACAATGGTATTTGCGCCATTGACGAGTTCGACAAGATGGACATCGCCGACCAAGTTGCCATCCACGAAGCCATGGAGCAGCAGACAATTTCTATCGCCAAGGCTGGTATCCAGGCCACCCTCAACGCCCGCACCTCTATCCTCGCCGCCGCTAACCCTGTTGGCGGTCGATACAACAGGAAGACGACCCTTCGCGCCAACATCAACATGAGCGCTCCCATCATGTCTCGTTTTGATCTCTTCTTCGTCGTCCTTGATGAGTGTAACGAGACCATTGACCGACATCTTGCCGAGCACATTGTCGGAATCCACCAGCTTCGCGATGAAGCCATCGAGCCCGAGTACAGCACCGAGACCATCCAGCGTTTCATTCGTTTCGCTCGCGCTTTCCGCCCCGAGTTCTCTCCCGAGGCCAAGGAATTCCTCGTTGAGAAGTACAAGGAGCTCCGCGCTGATGACGCGCAAGGCGGCATTGGCAAGAACTCGTACCGTATCACTGTTCGTCAGCTGGAGAGTATGATTCGCTTATCCGAGGCCATCGCCAAGGGCAGCTGCGAGAGTGTAATTACTCCCGACATGGTTGCCCAGGCCTTCGATCTACTCAGGCAGAGTATCATCTCTGTTGAGCATGACGATGTGGAAGTTGATGACGAGGAGGCACCCGAGCAAGGTGCGGCTCTCCTCCGCGCGGCATCTGAAGCGGCTGCTCAGCCGGCCGATGATGAAATGGCCGTCGACAGACCCGAGGGCACGCCAGCACCGGCCAGAGTCAAGCAGACCATCACGTTTGAGAAGTACTCGAGCATGGTCAACTTGATTGTCGAGCATGTCAACGAAGCCGAGGCCGAGAACGGCGAGGGCGTCGAGGGCGAGGCGCTCGTTGAGTGGTACTTGGAGCAGAAGGAGGATGAGCTCAATAGCGTCGAGGAGCACGACTCTGAGAAGGCATTGGCGAAGAAGGTTCTCAAGAGGATGGTCAAGGTATGTGGTGTCCCCGAGTATACGTCCAGGGAATCAGAACTAACTCAGACTTGCAGGAAAACATTCTCATGGCTGTCCGCGGCCAAGGCTTGGCAGACGACGACGCACCTGCCGAAGGCACTTCTTCTGGCCCTGTGGAGCCGGCGACTATCGTCTATGTGTTGCATCCCAACTGCGCTGTTGAGGAGTTTTGAGTCGAGGGCGGCGTAGACTGGGCCCGTGAATGATTCTGATGAGAAAGAAAACAAAAAGCTGAGAGTATTGTCTGCGACATGTTGGACTTTTTTCATGTGAAGCCTTGGAGGGGATAATGTTGTCGAGCTTGGTTCGTTTTGTCAAGCTTGGGAGTTGGGGCGTTCGGCCACGTAAGGTAGGCCTTGCTCGTCGATGATGGACATAGATGTAGAAAGAAACTTTCGAATATCACGAGGTCTTCATGATCGTCCAATGCTCATCTACCTTTAAGCCTTCATATGTGTGACACTAGGTTCGGACAACATCCGTATTGTCGATCAGATCAATAACACGCGGACCATCCACAATGATACATTGTTATTGAACCCAAGCATCTGAGAATGGCACACTCTGTATTTGGAACATTGATTTGGTGTGCTAAGATCGATTTGGCACATCGTCAACTTGAGTGCCGATAAGCTGTGGAGTGTTTCAGAATCCGTTCATAGAGACTTCTGTATAAGGTACCAGGAGTATCAGCATATGCTGCTGAATCTTCAAAGTATAAGAAGCTCCCCGTGTCCAAGGTTACGTTCTTGGGCTTGCAAGCGCCATTCTTCATCCACCGGCTGGGAGACGACTCCCTTTCCTCTGCCACGAGCGAGCACTGTTGGGTCACTTGTTAATTTGAACACGGAATCCACTCTAGGTGTACTTTGACGACGACGATGGTGCAAAAGCATATATCCGAACCAACGCCCCTCGCTCGCCAGCTTTGGCTATCGACGGCGTATTCCAACGTATACTCTAACGACGATGAGCTTCGATGGTAAGAGCCACCGTCTTGGAGATGGTGTTGATAAATTATTGAAACGAAGCAGGTTGATGACCAGGCATGGAAGAACGGTCACCCCAGCACGAAGTACGGATACAACCAGCTTCACAACGAGCAATTGAAAAGGACAAGACCAAACACGTTTCTAGGCCAGTCCATTGATTTCACCGTCAAATACTCTTTTATACTAGATATCCGCAGAGCCGACGGTCGGGACGTGCAACACGGGTACGTGGGCACTTACGACCTCGAAAGCTACCCAACAGCAGATGCAGATCCGAAGTTGCCAGTGCAGCGATTCCGGGGCAAGAAACAATCGTCACACTGAAGACGAATATATTTTTTGACCCGGCTCCCACCTTCGCAACGTCTTGCCCTGCAGTCATCTAAGGCCTCAAAACCCCTGGCGCAGTTCAAGGGTATATGATAAGTTGACGACTACACTCTGGAAGTATATCCTCCTATCCCTAGCTGTGCCCCCTCAGCTTACCTTATTCGTAGCGTATTTCCGATGGGCGGCGAGGGGAAGAAGATAGGATTGATGTTTTTAGCAGGAACTAAGCAGGACACTGTACTCCCCACCTACAGTATTCCAATATTGAAACCTCATAGTTGCGACAGATATCGCGAATAGGATTCTTCTGAGCCAAATGAGCTCATATGGCCCCCGCAAGCGATAAGCTTGGAGGAACATTTACCGCTCCTAGCTATAGACCTCTCTTCTATATCGCCGGGAGGCGGGAGGGTGGATGAGAGGCATTAGGAGCATAATGCAATGCGGTTTGGACTGATGACAGAGATGATGGCCGGCAAGAAGGATATACACGGGTTTCGCTTTTGGTTCAGAAGTCTTATCTGAAGAATGATTAAACTGCAATGGCAATTGATTTGGGCGAGGCTGACATTTTTCATAGAAGCATCAGATATATATATTTAAATTGGTCTTATTCATGTCCGTCACGCGACAAACCTCCTGGGAATATATATAAAAATGTGCAGGCTGGGTAGGATAGAGTCCCCAATCCCGTCCAGAGTACTCATCAGCTCAAAAACTAAACATTGCTGGAAAGACGAGAGCCAAGAATAGACCTCATTATTTGGCCAAGCTTAGCTTCGCTGGAGTAAGAAGGGTTGAAACTGACTCTTGGTCTTGTTTTTTTTTTCTTGCTTTGCTGCAGCTACTTTGTTCTTCGGGTCTTCAATCATCTGGCAACTATCTTTAGAAAAGGGATATAACTCTATTGATGCAGCATAGATGCCAGTCACCACCTCCCACGTCATGTCATGTCATGTCATGCCATGTCATGACCAACTGATTAACCGTCGCGTCTATATACCCAGCTCGCCATACCTAAAAGTCAATGCCACATTTAGATGGTATACGGCTTCGCGTCAGTAAAGATCAAGTGAGGCTTCCTCTTAGCCAGGTCGAGAATCGTCTCGGCAAAGACGCCGTTGGCCCCTATCAAAAGTCAGCATCACAGCTCACAATGTCGTCAAAATCAGGTATTCTAGTATCCTACATGCGAACCAGCTTCCTGTATTATGATTAGCATGATAGTTGGTAAAGCGGGCTCGACGGGACTTACGGGTATAAGCAGAAATACGTCCGACATCAACACTTTCGTGAACCAAACCGAGCTTAGCAGAGTTCAGGACAAAGTCAAGACACTCGGTGATTTCCTGGTCATTCTCGGATGTCTGCGCCTGGATCAAAAGACTCATTGGCCAGGCGTTGGAAAGCCCAATGTGGGGTCCTGGGATGTTGTAAGTTTCAACACTTCCAACGCATCAAGAAAAAACTCACCTCCGATTCCGTGGAAGGCAGCACCCTCGAGGTAGTAAGGGTTGCCAGTCTTCTCCAAAAGCATCTTCCTGGTGTTCTTGTACGTCTGATCATCCGCAGGCAAGAATCCCATGAGAGGAAGCGCCAGCAGCGACGGGTAATTCGCATCATCCATGAGAATGGACGAACCGTACCCGTCAACCTCGTACGCAAAGACGTCTCCGTACTTGGCGTGCTTGACCACACCATTATTCCACACGCCGTCAGCAATTGTCTGGCTCCACTTGTCCACCGTCTGCGCGAGGACGTCCTTGCCGGCCGCCTTGAGGAATATGGACGTGCGCTTCAGCTCCACGGCCATCATGGCGTTCGCCGGAATAAAAAAGCCGAGGATCGTAGCGTCATCGCTGGGCCGGAAAGCAGACCTCACGAGACCCGTTCCGTTGTTCAGCGGGTTACCGACGCCCTTGAGGTTCAGCGTCTCGGTGCCCGCGTCCGTCTTGCGCTGGAAGGTGTACTCGTTCTTCTGAAAGCGGCCCGTCTCCGGGTCGAACGTGGAGCGGGACTGCTCCTCGAGTACGTTGAGCACCGTCTCGAGAGCCATGAACCACCTGCCCGTCATGAAATCCTTGGACTCGGTGTGCTCGTAAAAGTCGTTGCCCAGCGCGAGGAAATGCGCCAGCGAATCCAGCTCGTACTTGCACTCGAACACAAACGAGGGCTCGTAGATGGGGTGCACCGTGTCGTCCTGTCCGTTGTGGCTCGGCTGCAGGTTCGCGATCGGAGGGGGCTGGAAGGCGTTGCAGTACGGCGACTCGATGACGTACTCGGCCTGGGTGTTGATGGCGCCCAGGATCAGCTTGAAGATGGCGGGATCTTTCTTGGCCAGCGCCTGGTAGGGTGAGAGCTGGTTCGTGCTGTCGCGCAGCCACTCGGCAATGATGTCGCCCGTAATGATGAAGGACTGCGGCCCCTCCCATTTGCCCTCGTCGCGCAGGCTGCGGCCCTTGAGGTCGACGAATCTGGTATCAGTCCCATCGGTATGGAACTTGACAGTGGTGTCTGTTGTGGAAGGGAACGCGTTCTCGAATAGTCTGGCCAGGTCGGGGTCCTTCATTCTGGATGTGACGTCCTTGATGACCTGCTCAATGGCATCGGAGTGGAAAGTACGGCATCGTGGATCGGGTCGTTGGTAGGGCAGGCCAAGGGGGCCTTCGCTCAGGGGTTTACTGGCGACACACACACATTCTCAGCATTGATTCGTGGTCTCAAGAGGAACGGCCAAGGCCAGAGTCGCAAACTCACTGGGGGTATGTGGAATACTGCGCATAGTTGGGACATGCTTCGCGGTCCTCGCCAGTCAGAGGTTCTTGCGCCGCGTAGGTCTGGCCGACCAGCAGACCCAGGGGTAGCAGCAAGTCAAATACTGTGCGTAAGGACATGGCTGCGAGAGCAATGTTGCCTGGCAGGAAAAGGCACGGGAGGGAACAGAGAACAAAATTTGAGTCTATGTCCGCATGGGTATCAATCGCTGAGGAAACCCTTCGCAGTGCAGAGAGATCGTGGCAGGGTCCAGCAACAGAAACAAAAAAGCGATCGTGTTACGAAGCAATGTGCGGCGTTGGGTTGACGCGGAAAATAGGACGACGAGCTCCCTGCCAGCCAGGTGTCCGCTGCGTCTTTTGGGGGATGCCGCAGCGTCACTGTGGTCCCTTGCAGGAGCTCTGACCGGGGTTGCGTATTTTAGCGTCGCATCTTGACGACTCAGGCCCACTGCGGGGTGACGCGGGGCGACCTCCGGCGTCCGTGCCGCTCCCGGGCCGGCGCTGTTTCTCCTAGTCACGCCAGTGCTATTTCAACCTCTGTGATCTAGAGGCAGTAATTGCCCGCAGTTACAGCCAATAGGAGATCCATTGGTAACAAAATCGTTGGACAAATCGCGGATATCTGCATGTGACAGCTTGCTTTACTGTGGAACTCTAGAGCTTATCTTGTAGACAACGTTTCTCTCCTTTTTCTTTCATGCCAAGTCTCCATCAAGCCTCTTGACATGGGCCCCCAAAATCTTTCCCCGGCATTCATTTCTTGCCAAAGAAGGACATGATGTTGCCCTGTCCCTTTGGAGCAGGCTTCTTCGGCTTCGCAGCTTGGCTTCCAGAACTTGGCGCAGATGAAGTCTTGGCCAACTTTGCGGGCGGCGGGGGTGCCTCGTCTTCTGAGAACTCTTCCCAAGCAGGTTCCTGGATAGTGACTAGTAGACTGTTGTTAGCTTTGAGAAACTTAAGGGAGTATTGCCAAACTTACCAAGGTAGCCCTGATCGTCCATGATCTGCTTCTTCTTCATGACTCTCCGCTTGCCACGCCGACGACCGTCGCCTGTGCTAGAAACGACTTCCGCTGGTTCAGGTTTCGCTTCTGGCTCGGGAGCCTCCTCCAATGGCTCATCCATCGGCTCGTCCTCCTCCTTCTCTTCGGGCTCTTCCTCTTCCTCGCTCTCTTCCATCATCATTTTTAGCTCAGCCTCGCGGTCCTTTCGTGACTTTCTTCCAGAATTGGCAGGGGCCTTTGCGGCGGGAATGTCTTCATCGTCATCCTCGCCATCATCAGATAGTGCGGGCGTCTCGACGGGTGCCGGTTTCGGGACCTCTTTCGGCTTGCTTGCAGCCTTGGCTGCGGCTTTGGCAAACATGCCCGAAATGCCAGACGAGCCACTCTTCTTCAACGCTGGTGGCGCCGCTCCCTTCTTCGTTGCCGCCGTGGACGTGGGTGTCTCTGTGGTTTGCGTCTTGGTCTCTTGCTTGACAGGTACCTCTGCCTTGGAGTCAAGGGCTGCGGGCTTGACGGCGGGAGGTGCTGCCTCCTTCTTGATAGGCTTGACCGCCGGTGCTGGAGCAGCAGGTGTAGGTACTGGTCCTCTTCCTTGGCGGGTGCGTTTGCGGACATTGGGGTTGGTGATGGTACCGTATGTCTCTGCCATGGGTGCACTCTCATTCGTCGACTGCTCCTTGATTTGCTGATGAACGTCTGCTAAAAGTTGCAAGTCCTGGGGCACTGGTCAATGGTTGTCACTACACGGAGGAGAACAAAGGCTTACCCTGGTAGGATGCCTCGCCAAACTGTAGATATGGAATGAGGTCACCTCTTCGTAAGTGGCCAGAGTGTCTAAGAAAGGTCAGTAATGTGAGAAAACAGTGGAAATAATAAACTTCTAATTACCCTTCAGGAGGTCGCCAGGGACAAGAGACATGGAGTGGGTGACAACATCTTCAGAAGTTTCGACATTAGGGGGCGAGCTGGCCATTTCAACATCGCCATCATCTTGGACCTTTTGTTGTGCTGGTTGGGTTCCATAGATCAGGTAGGTTGCATGGATTGTGCCAGGGCGCATCCCATTCTGTGACCGGTGGAAGTCATAGAGCATTCTATCAAAAGGTCAGCAGCTGTTGCACTAGTCAGTGGAATGAAGCTCCTTGAACTGACCCTTTTGCTGTGTTAACATGAACCTTGAGTGCCCGGCTGAGGCTTCGATATGTGACCTGGGATATTTATGAGCACCAGTTTGACGGCCATCATGGGAATGTCGTAGCTTACAATTTTCTCCTCACTCAGGATCTGGTCAGCCAGATACTTTTTGTATTCCTCCATGGTGCAGTTGTCTGATTGTTCTCCCGATAAGACTTAAAGTGGCCCAATGTGAAATGATTGAAGCTGGTCAAAGAACAAGGCGACACCTTTTGCAGGGAGTTGTCACGATGATTCCCTGTGAAGAAGGTACAAGGTGGTGAGGGAGCTACTTGCTCTGAGAAGACGCGTCGGGCCAAAGACAAAGACGCGACCCCACTATTTCTTCTTAATTGATTTTCTGCGCACACCCCCCTGCTGGGGCCATTCAGGAGAGTGCGATTGGTGACGTTATCCACTAATTCTACACCTCCCGGTCTTCAAATCCCTGACACTTCCCCAATGAGCGCGCCACTCGACGCGACTTTCCCATCCTCTCCAAAAGTTCTCTGAAGCCTTTGCCTCTGGACATCCTTGTTACTATTGCTCGAGGTCTTTACTCAAATCGCCAGCTCAGACACCCAAAGTCTTTTCCAAGCGACGTGTGCCTCGAGAGTACCGATCGCCGCCGAATGTACAGATACTTACTCACGCTTGACTTCTGTCACGAATCCCCCAGTCCAGTCGCCCATAATGGCAGACAACTTCGAGGACGTCCCAGACTCAACAGATTGGCTCTCTACACCCCTCCCCGCTCTCTCAGCAGTCGAAGCCTCCTTACGATGCCAGGTCTGCAAGGACTTCTTCAAGACACCAATGGTCACATCATGCTGCCATACCTTTTGCTCCCTCTGCATCCGTCGCGCCCTGTCCAACGACGGCAAGTGCCCTCTCTGTCGGGCTTCGGACCAAGAGTTGAAGCTGAGGAGTAATTGGTCTCTCGAGGAGGTTGTCGACTCGTTTGTCAAGGCCAGGAAGGATACGCTACACTTTGCCAGGACGGCGGGCCAGAATGACCAGCGAGAACCCAGCGGCAGTGTGGCCAAGAGGAGGATGGCTGAGGAAAGCGGCGACCAGCAGCCAGAGACCAAGCGCCTCAGGAGTTCGGCGAGGCTCAGCAGGACTAGATCTGGACAGGCAGCCGCCGCGCCCGTACATGAGGTCGATGAGGTTGACGAGATGGAGGAAGTACAGGAGGACAACGAGTCAGAGGACGCAGATTTCGGTAAGCCAATGCCCTTCTTTACCAAGCGCTTCACTCGACCACCCTTCTAACACATATCGGTCCCAGCTCCCGAGGATGGTCTGGTCCCATGCCCCATATGTAGCACCCGCATGAAGGAAGCCCAGGTCTTCCGCCACCTCGACACCTGCGACGGCTCAAAACCACCCCCACAACAACATACAGCCCAAGCCCGCACAAGCGCAAGCCGTACCCCGACACCAAACACACCCGCCCGCGGCGCCGGCCCCAGCAGATCGCATCCGGCCCCCGAACGCCTCCCCGCCCTCGCCTACTCCATGCTCAAAGACGTCGCCCTGCGCAAAAAGATGTCGGATCTCGGCCTCGCCGTCACAGGCGGGCGCGTCCAACTAGAAAAGAGACATAAAGAATGGGTGACGCTGTGGAACGCAAACTGCGACTCGGCGCGACCGAAGCGGAGGACGGAGCTGCTGCATGACCTCGACGTGTGGGAGCGCACGCAGGGTTCCAAGGCAGCCATGTTTGTGAAGCCGGGCGTCGCGGTCAAGGACAAAGAATTTGACGGCGTCGCCTGGGCGGCAAAGCATGATACCTCGTTTAAGGATCTAATCGCAAATGCGCGCAAGTCCAGAGCGCAGGCCAAGCCGAAGAGCGAGGAAGAGGAAAAGGAGACAGCTACGCCAAAGTCAGAAGATGGCGGAGCTGCCTCAGCAGAGACTGGTGCTCCCAAGCTGGATTCAGAGAGGAGTGACGCGGCGGTGATTGATCTGACAGAGCAACCAAGAGATACCTCCAGAGAAGGCGGCGTAGACGAAGCTCCCCCGGGATCCATGATGCAGGTCGACAATCCGGCACTCAAACCGCAGGTCCCAGCATCGACGTATTACCTACAGGACGGCTTTTCAGAGCCTCAGATACCCAGCGGTCAGGAGGCGCGGTGACATTCAGCGTGGTAATTGCATGACATAGCGCTTTCTTCGTTACTATACCCTGCCGACTGTGAGATATACAGACTTTGCTTCAATACAAAACCCAGCAAAGAAACGCCGTGATCTGAACCCTATGGTTCATGAATACAAATGCGTGATGAGACCCCGACGTGATATGATGCCAGCCATCCCTTTCACTGCGCAGGCATCGGCTTCTCCCGCTCTCTCTCCCTCTCCTCGAGCCCCATCCTCTCCAAACTCTCCGCCGTCTCCCCCGTCGGCGACTTGGCGTCCTGCCTCTCAACAGGCTCCGCAACAGGCGTCTTCAAATCCGCCATCTCGGCCTCAAGCCTCCTCCTCGTCTCCTCAGCCTCCCTCTCCTCCCTCGCCTCCCTCTCCTTCCGCTCCGCCGCCTCAACCTTCTCCCTCTCCTCGCGCTCCATAGCCTCAAGCTCCTCATCCACCTCGAACTCATCCACCACAGGCGCAGCACCAGCCTCGGAGATAATCTTGCCCACCTCGTCCACCTCGCCCATCTGCTCCCGCAACCGGTCCACCACGTCCCCGACCCGGTCCGCGCCGCCGACCTTCTCGTTGAGCCCCTTGAGCGCGCCCGCGCTCGCCTCCATGACGCTGACGAGCTGGACGTTGTCCCGCGCCTCTTGTATCCTCGCCGCCACGTCCTCGAGCTGGTTCAGCGTCGCGAAGCGCTTCTCGAGCGACGCTTCGGTCATTTTTTTCGACTTGAGCGCCGCCAGCGCGGCAACCTTGTTCTTTTTGACGACGGCTTCCTTGGCTGTTGCCGCGA